GCACAATAGTTTATAATATTATGTATGTAAACTAGTTGTGTTCCTTCTTCTCACTCCAGTCCATTCATCTGAACATCCAAACTATTTAGCCCTGATTACCTAACCCTTTCCATCTTCTGAAGATTCATCCATAATTAGAGAAGGAAACAATGTTGAAGCAATGTTTAAACTAAGCACTTTTAATTCCTTAAAATACATTTCTGCAAAGCTCTGAGATATATAATAGATCTTATGCAGACAGACATTATTTACTTCTACACTAGTAAGAGCTTAATTTTATTTTCTCCAGTTTATTGTGATTTACAGAGATCTTTAATTCACTGGCCATGGAGAATCATCACCTAAAATACATGAACATATGGTTTTCATCTCCTTCATTGTAGCCTTAGGTAACTTCCTGAAACCACATCCTTGGCTCTTAGAAGGCATGCAATTGTGCCCCAGTCTCTGCCTTCTGTTTCCATCCAGTGATATTTTGTATAGCGTTCCTTTAATCTCCAGGCTACATACAAGTTGCTGTGAGGATTGCAATAAATAAGATCTTTCAATTACAGCCCCCAAACCACATATTCTTCAGTTTCATTTAAGTACAAGGACTTGGGGAACTGATTAGCTGTATCATATTCCCAAGTTGTCCCATCTTCGGTTTATGCCTCCTTGAGGTAATCTAAATGCATTCATATACCTGTGAAATATTTTAATAGATACAGCCAAATTTTCCAGTTTTACGTTCAATGAATCAAATAGCCATCAGAAAGCTCAGTTATGTGAGGAGGTGGAAAACAAGGGAGACCTCATCATAGTTCCATGGTACTTCTGCTATCTCTCTGAAAGTAACGCTGGACAAAGAAGAGTCCTGGCTTATTCTGAGCTTCCTGAAGAAGCACAGCTCAAAGAAGGATGCTGGGAAAGTGGAAAAGCATATGTTTCACATGCAAAATTACTGACTGTGATAGACCAATTATTTCCCCCAAGGTCACTTCCTATGGTTCTTAGGCAACTACATACATACCAGTGCAAGTGTCGTGGGTTGGACCCAATTTTTCTTCCCATGGAAGTGGTAAACAAATGCTGACATTTCTGCTTTCTCTTCTCATTACCATCTCTTCCATGCTTCCTTAATTATAAAGCACTTTTCTGACATCTCCCCATTTCTGTACACCCCAGTTAACATGGATCCTAATCTTCAAGGGAACATCTTATACATGTAGTGGTGGAGACACAGCCATAGACAGGGATAGAAAAGAGAGCAAGATCAACTTCCCTACACTCCCTTTTGTTAACAGAGGGATTTAGATCTATTATTTAATAGCAGTAGCCACAATGGCAACAAAAGCTTACAAGGAAGATCAGCATAGCTGATATGCAAACAGCTTATTCATGGAATAAGCAGACAGCTTTCCGTGCAGCAAATCTGCCTCTGTAATTTAGAATTCATTGATTGTATCTTCACCACCACACAAGCAGGTAAATGGGCACGGATTCCCTTCCCCCAAAAGTCAGTGTGAAAAACAACATTTTATCAGAAGATGCTTTACAATGAGAACAGACTGAAATAAAAGACAGGAGAACTAGGTCCTAAGATCACTTTTTGAATTTCTTGTTAGCCCAAATCAATTTCTAGCCATTCTGCTTTTGAAATTATAAGTAGTTTTGCCTGGCTTTTAAGCAGCAACATGTTGACACACCTCCAATGGGCTATGTGAATTGCCATTAAAGATATTTTACATCCTTGTGGTTCCATCTCTCCTTTATCTTTGGAAGAGAAGGGAATTGTACTAAGAATGTTGGTATTTTGAGAGGAGTCTAGGTGCAAAGACTGAAATAGGGAGAATCGAGAATATCAGTTTAGAAAACAAGAGAAGTCTTTTTCCTTTATACAATGCTCATGAAAAAGCTGTAAAACAATAAACAAAAGTCTCAATTTTTCATTGGTTTATCTGGCCCATACTAGATACCTTTGGAAATAACTTTGAAGTTTCTCAGGATGAGGATTTAATAGCAATGCATGGATTCACCTGGATCTAGGCTGAAGTCCCACTTGAAATCATCTTATAAAACAAATGGAACTTAAATTCATTGGGACTACATTAAGTAGATTTCAATGTATCTGTATTACTCACTCTACAATACATTACAGACTAAGGCCGGACACATTATATTATGTGCAGCAGATTGTCCACAGGAGCCAATAGGAGGGAGGTCTTCTAAAAATCTGCAGATTCCCCAAAAAGGACTTCAAGTTGTTTCAGATTCAAAAGGGAATCACAAGGAAATGCATTTACTCTGCAGGAGCTTCTGTAATGGATTATCAATACAATTTGTTAGTGAGGATGGTGGTGGGAACCATTTAAAAGTTATGTAAGTCTTCTTTTAGGCTGAAAACACCCATATACCAAATTGCCTAACTCCCCAACCCTCTGCAAAGCCTACCCTCAGTTGTCTGGAGATTCTCACCCCTGCCTTACATGCTTGATTTCTGCACTCCAATTATACTGCCACTCCATTGTCCTGATTTAGAATTCTGTGTTCCTAATAATATTGAATATTGAAACTTCTTTCATAGGACTAATTGTAGTGTATCAGCTGTAAACAGCTTGGTGCACTACCATATTGCTAAGTTTGACTTCATCTAATATCTACAACAAGTGTTTGGTTTTTTTAGACCAATACCTCACTGCAAGGGAGACTAACACAGCATACAACATGTCCATTAATTAAAAGGGGTAGCCACCCCCTCATATTCACACTACTTTTTCATTCTTTTCACCAAAGAAGGTTGCCATACTTTTTTCTAACACTTCTGTAGAGCAATCTGTGGAAATACCTTTGCCCTCAGACAAAATTAAGGCTTGAGGTTTCCACAATTCTCATGAATTCCCAGAATGAAGAATACTGCTTATATGAGAGTGGGTATTAAGAAGGTCACAGGAGAAAACATGGGTAGAGGAACTAAACTGTAATGCTCAAACCACTTAAGCTTTTGTGTCTCCAATTATTTTCAAAAAGAGGTAAGAATTATTCTTGATGTGTAAATCTCCCAGCCTGCAAAGATTTGCTATTTTCTTTTAAATGTATGCAGCCTCTTTGATCTGATACTTTGCTGGTCTTACTTAAAATAAATAGTTTCTTTTATCTTGCCTTTTTACTGGGTTTAGCCTTTGCAAAGATGGTTTAAATCCAAATTGTTTGGATTGGTTTCTATTATAACGTTTATTATTAAAAGCATACAGCTCTGAATTTTGTCTAGGAATTTGAAAAAGTAAATATTCATATAACCCACAAGAGAAGGTTAAAACTAATAAAAGAAACTGGTGAACTACATTGATTTAGGCAACTCAAGAAAGTTATAAAAGATGTGTAAGGAAAAGTTCAGGTGTCTTCATACAGTAATTCTTGGTTGATTTTTTAAAGTACATTTCTAGTGAACTAGCTGGTAGAAAGTAAAATGGATTTTACTTTTCTTCTAAGGATTGTCTTTAAGGAAAAATACTAGCAATTATATCAACCATAGGCCAGTGCTACAAATATTTAATCACACTGCAGAATGAACAGACTTCACTGCATCAGGCGGTGTTGCAGTATCTGTTTCTCTACTAAACCAGATTTACTCTATGCAAAATTCAGCACTACAAGGTTTTGGCAATGGTGATGAACTTAGGCAGTATTAAAGAAAGCTTGGGCAAAACTTTAGAAAATGGAACTAAAAACAAATACTAGCCATTCTCTTTAAGTAGCTAGTTAACCATAGGCTCACTATGTAAATTGTGGAAATCATCGATAGTCAGGACTGACAAACTTTGTACAGCTACATCCTATTTAAAGTGTGTTAGCTGTTCCTGCTAGTCTTTTCCATGACTAAGGCAGGGAGCCAGAACTAAACCAAATCCCCTGAATTCTAGCTTAGCAGGGAACCAGCAGTGTGCTAGCACAGGCTGCTTGGATCGCACCCATTGGTTTCTTTGCCAATGGGCACCAGTAATCCAACTACTCCTGGGTCCATCTGCAGTTTCTTTACTGTGCTTTCCCAACCAGGAAATCAGCTTATACTTTTTGGAGTTATCCAAAGGAATAAGCTGAGTATGGATTCTTTCCCTGGCTTGTTTCAAGCAGAACAAAACAGAGTGCCTGATATTGACAACAGACTGAACACGCATGCATGTTTGTAGGGACAGGGTAAGAAACATCAGTGAGTAATTGCAAATTCATTTGCACAAGAGTGTTATGGTGCACATCACTTCATTGTTGAAGTGCACAGCCACTTCACTGGCTACAGATGTAAACAAGTCTCTAAGCTGTCTATATTTGATTGCTATATCTATTGATTGGAAGACGTAGCAGGAATAAATAGCATGCATTAATGTAGCCCTTGTTTTCTGCTAAGCCAGAATCCTGATGAATCCCGATTTGGCATGGCATACAGATGTGAATGCCGTGGTTACTGTTTGCCTGCCTCAATATATGGCCCATGAACTTCATTGCATTTCACCTTGAGTTTAAATATCCTGCATGAGGAGGAGAATGCTCACTTTATTCTCATCATGCACAGTTTTATAAATCTCATCTTCCCACCACCACTTAGTTATTTTTCTCTAAACTTCAAAGCCCCAAATCTTTTAGTCCTTCCACAGAAGGAAGGTGCTCCATCTCCTTGATTATTTTGGCTGCCTTTTTCAAATCTTTTGCAGCTGTATAAGTTGTTCTTTTTGAGATGGGTGAATGACCAAAGCTTTGGGGTATTATTGGAGTCTGTACAAAACAGGCAGTTCCACATGAATTACAAAGTAACGAAACAGTGCTTCTAACCCCAGAAGGAGTGAAAGCCACAACCATGTGAGAACATTCAGTTGATGATGACTCATCTCAGAAGAATGATTTTTTTTAAAGATTCCAGGTCATCAAATATACTTCTCTTTGGTGTTAAACACAGTTAGGACAATCTCATCTAAAGATGAGAAATATGCTGTCCCAGTTCTTACAAACGTTTATTTATATTTTAGTGTTCCCTAAGTAGGGCAGAAGCGCGACGAGATGCTGCAAAAGTGGCTCTTATCAATTCTCTGTTCAATGAGTTGCCTTGTCGCAAGATCACAAAGGAATTCATTATGGAGAGTGTCCAAGAAGCTGTTTCTTCCACCAGTGTAAGTATTAGCCATCATTTTGTGTGCTGTCTTCCTCTGTATTTATGACAGAATTACAAGCAGGAAGGAAATCATTCACATAACAGTATGCATGAGAGGGCCTTCATTGATAAGTTTCTGACACTATGATGAATGTCTCCCTTTTGACCCAAACACCCTTTCCCTCATGACATAACAAAGAAATCAAGGCCACACTTTAAAAGTTGGTAATCTGTGTTGTTTCTTAAGAGGAACATATGAGCTTATTTCAGCATGTTGTTGAGAAATAGAAGTTACAAGTACTGACATTGCATACGCCAGGGATGAGGATTTTTTTTTTTTTTTAATGAGAGCTGCACTTTAGGCTTTAAAACTATTCAGTCTCCAAGAGAAATGGGGGGATGGTGATGACATGGTGATGTAAATGGAATGTGAACATTTCTGTTTGGTTGTGTTGAGCAAGTTAAGGGGGAAATGGATGTTGAGACTTAAGGCACTTGTTTCATACTGTATTTTCACTAAATGTACACCACCAATTACATTTTGCTTCTGACTTATGGTGATGAGATATAGGGTGACAAAATGGAAGGTGAATTGTATGGGGATAAAAAGTAAAATGGGCACCAGGCCCTGAACAAGAATATTGGCTGATTGATTGATTGTTTTGATTTGATTTGATTTGATTTTTAAGGCCACCCAACTCCGAAAAGATTTAGATTGGGAGACATGTTGTACATAATTTCCACATTTTACTGGACCTAACAGCCCACTCATGTTGTGTAGAGCACTCACTAGATATAGAACTCAAGAAGTTGACAGATCTGATCTGAGTCACATCAGTGCCTTGATTATCCAGTTTCAATACAAAAAAAAGTAGAACATTGTATATAGTCCAGGCATGAACCTGAACTAGAAACATTGCTTCACCCATCGTTAGGATATTGATGCAATGAAAGAAAAAAAATGTACACTCAACAGTCATTCATGCACACTTAGTGTATCAATTAAGCTTAGTGTTATTAAGATAAATGATTAAAAATGTCTAGTTATATCCTGCCATTTCCTCAGAGAATATATACTCTGACACATTTGTTATAATAAAAAAGAAACAACTAGAAAAGACACATGAAACCATTAACAACATCTTCAAAGGAATAAAATTCACCAGAGAAGAAGAAAACAACACCACACTACCCTTCCTGGATATCCTCATCAGCAGAGGAAACAACAGGAAATTAGAAACCCACGTTTATCAGAAGACAACCCACACCAATCAGTACTCCACTACCAAAGCAACAACCCGACCTCCCACAAGAGGAGCTGTGTAAGAATGTTATTCAAGCTAGCTCAAACGCATTGCAGCAACCCAGAACAGCAGAAAAAGGAAAAAGACCACCTATGCAACATCTTCCAACAAAATGGATACCCATGTAACTTTATCAAAAAGTGCCTGACCACTCAACCTACTACAACACACCCCACACAAGCCATGAAAAGGATCACACTGCCATACATCAGAAACATCTCAGAAACCACCAACAGATTATTACAACCATATGGCATCTCTG